AATACTCTATGGCAGTATTGTGTCAAAGCGGAGGAGTGATGGGTTTGTGTTGCCAAGCTCGTATATGGAAGTGACTCAATATTTACAAATAAAGGATGCTAAAACAATGGGGGAAAGAGTTCAAAAGTGCCTTGAATTGTGTATAGTTCGGTCACAACAACCACAGCCGACGCGTTTCAGGGGCAACAAACACCTTTATCAGAGGGTGGGCTTATAAGTGCCAGGATCGTATGTGGGCAGAGCAATGGTAATCAGTGCCATGGCTGTATGTGGGCAGAGGAATGGTATTCAGTGCCATGGCTGTATGTGGGCAGAGGAATGGTAATCCGTGCCATGGATGTTTGTTGGCAGAAGCTGTTGCTAAGGTTGATTGGGATTGGATGGGTTGGTGCCAAGGTTGTATGGGTTAATTATTGCCGTGGGCAGATACATTTTTTTTTTTGTGGTTGTATGTGGACAGAGGATGGATTTGTTGATGCCAAGGCTGTATGCTGACAGATGAAGGGTTATATGTCATGGTTATATGTGGCAGAGAATGTTTTTTGGGGGCCAAGCTTGTACGTGGGCAGAGGATGGGCTTATTGGTGCTAGGGTTGGATGCTGGCAGAGGATTGGTTAATCATGCCATTGTTGTATGTGGGCAGATGATGGATTTGTTGGTGCCAAGTTTGTGTCTGGGCAGGGGATGGGTTTATTGGTGCCAAGGTTGTATGTTGGCAGAAGATGGATTCATTATTGCCATGGTTATATGTGAGCAGAGAAAGGTGGTTGGGGTTTTGGGCGCCAAGGTTGTATCTTGGCAGAGGATGGGTTAATTGGTGCCAAGGTTGTGTGTTGGCAGAGGATGGGTAAATTATTGTCATTATTATATGTGGGCAGAGAAAGTTATTTTTTTGGTGCCATGGTTGTATGTTGGCAGAGACTGGAGTTGTTGGTACCAAGATTGTATGTGGGCAGAGGATGGGCTTATTGGTGCCAGGGTTGTACGTGGGCAGATGATGGGTTAATTGGTGCCAGGATTGTATTTGGGCAGAGGATGGGCTTATTGGTGCCAGGGTTGTACGTGGGCAGATGATGGGTTAATTGGTGCCAGGGTTGTATTTGGGCAGAGGGTGGGTTTTTGGTGCCAAGGTTGTATGTGGGCAGAGAATGGGCTTATTGGTGCCAGGGTTGTATGTGGGCAGAGGATGGGCTTATTGGTGCCAGGGTTGTACGTGGGCAGAGGATGGGTTTATTGGTGCCAGGGTTGTACGTGGGCAGATGATGGGTTAATTAGTGCCAGGGTTGTATTTGGGCAGAGGGTGGGTTTTTGGTGCCAAGGTTGTATGTGGGCAGAGGATGGGCTTATTGGTGCCAGGGTTGTATGTGGGCAGAGGATGGGCTTATTGGTGCCAGGGTTGTACGTGGGCAGAGGATGGGTTTATTGGTGCCAGGGTTGTACGTGGGCAGATGATGGGTTAATTGGTGCCAGGGTTGTATTTGGGCAGAGGGTGGGTTTTTGGTGCCAAGGTTGTATGTGGGCAGAGGATGGGCTTATTGGTGCCAGGGTTGTATGTGGGCAGAGGATGGGCTTATTGGTGCCAGGGTTGTACGTGGGCAGAGGATGGGTTTATTGGTGCCAAGGTTGGATGCTGGCAGAGGATGGGTTAACCATGCGATCGTTGTATGTGGGCAGATGATGGATTTGTTGGTGCCAAGTTTGCGTCTGGGCAGGGGATAGGTTTATGGGTTGGCACCAATAAACGTATCCCCTGCCCAGACACAAACTTGGGTAGAGAATGTTTTTTTGGTGCCAATGTTGTATGTTGGCAGAGGATGGGCTTGTGGGAGCCAAGGTTGTATCTGGGCAGGGGGTAGGTTTGTTGGTGCCGGAGTTGCATGTGGGCAGAGGATAGGCTTGTTGGGGCCAAGATTGTATGTTGGCAGAGGATGGGTTCATTATTGCCATCGTATGATGAATTTCTTGGTGCCAAGTTTGTATCTGGGCAGAGGATGGGTTTATTGTTGCCAAGGTGGTGTGGACTAATGTATGCCAGGTGGTTTGTGTTACATGTGGCCAGAGGTTTACAAAGTGTGTGCAAAGCGTTGCACTTGTAAATAAAAATGCTCATTCTAAATGGTTTGATCCTTCACTGAGCCTTCCACATCACGTTGGGCCAGTCTGTGTGCGGCTTGTATTTTGTGACCCAGTTTGGCTCCATGGGTGTGTAAAGCAATATGGTTGGCCCAACTGTCACTTCCCAGGCTTGTTCATAGAGAAGTATAGGATTCAGGCTTGGCATAGTTAGTTTGAACCAAATGGACATTGCGCCACAATCTGTCACGTTGCAACTGCTGATGACCCATTATCTCTAAGATCTCTCTATCACTAAGAGAAAGTGTTCCAGGGACAACTAAGAGACGAATCCCCTTCACTTTGGAAGATTTCCTCTAACTTCCCGTTGTCCCAGGGACAGGAAGTTTAGGGAAATTTCCATTCACACAAACAGCAATAAAAATATCTGGCAGGGGTTTGCACCCTTCATTACTGTACCAGAAAAAGTTTTGGCTATACCTACCCCATGGGGCATATTGTGGCAGTCTCAGAATCCACTGCTGCCATCAGAAAGACGACAACGTTCTCAGCCTCACCCTACACAGAGATTTTCCAGCTTGCAGGACAACAGTCTAAGCGCCAGCCTTCTGAGAGCGTTTCCCATTGGGGTCGGATTAAGCCAGCAGTTAACCCTTTAGACACACAAACTAGCTGCCACTGCATGTTTTAATAGAAACACACCATTCACAGTGTTAATTGTAGCAATTCTATCTGTGAGACTCACTGCCACTGCCAGACGGGAAGGAAAAAGAGTTAAAAATATGGTTGTTTTCCTTCAAGAAATTCTTTCATTCTTGATTTAGAGATACATTTTAAAAAATAATTCCACTTTTGTTGAGAAAAAAAAAGACAATCCCCTCTGGTGATCAATGTACATCGCAAGGTTTTTCCCGAATGATTCCCGAATGGGAGGTGCACTTTCTCTGTTTTAATGAGGACAGTTGCAGAGTCTCCATTAGGTTAGGAAAAGGACTTCTCTATTGCAGGTGATGCCTAAAAGTTTACTTGGTTCTTGTGGAAAAATCAGCCAGCCAATCACAATATCATCAGGAAATGACATTTCTGGGGGCGTTCTATATACCAACTGTCTATAGAAAGACTCCAGGTTGCTATATTGCATTGGATTTTTTTGACAGGTCTAGAACATTACAGCAGCTACAGTTTTCAATGGAAAGATACTTTTTAATAACATTAAGTTACGTAATTGCTTGTGTAGCAATTATATACGCCATGCTTGTATCTTCGTGCAAAACAAATATGTACAGAAAAGATATTACGAGAACATACGATGGCAACAGTAAAATAAATGGGATTGAATGTCAGAAGTACTTAGAAAGGTTTTCCAGGTGTTTTGGTTTTGGCAAAATCATTTAGGGGTAGGTCCAATCTGATGTAATAAGGTCATCGATTCTCTTGAATGACCTTTAGCAATCCGTTATCTTTTCAGTGGAGGATCAAGAGCTTTCAGCTGCCAATTGCAGCAGCTTTTTGTGGACCCTCTACAACAGGGGTCTCAAAGTACTGGCCCGTGGGCCAATTGTGGCCCCCAGCCAGCTGACAAGTCACTGACCAAGTACCTGACTTGGGGGAGCAGCTACACGGTCTGCATCTCTGCTGGCTGCACACCCCATAGCTGCTTCTTTGTGGCGGCAGTCGGATCATTTCGGCCAGCGCTCTGAAATCCTTCAGTGAACGCTGCCGAAAGGATGGATTAGTAAGGTCTGCACCTGACCTTACTAATCAACCTCTGGATCACCAGGGATCGCGCCTCCTCCCTGCAAAAGGTAAGCAGGAGAGGAGGCTCTTTGTTTTATTTTATATGGGACAGGGGGGTGTATTATTTTATATGTGCAGGGGTAGTATTTTTTTTAATGTGTGTATGGGGGGAAGTATATTAGACTCCGTTTACATCTGTAAGTTTTGTTGCAATTAGAGGTTCCTGCATCAGAAATCCCTAATCTGGCCTTTACAAGCGGTAACGGTCACCCATTCAAGTTAATAATGACACGACAGCCGCTGCATGTTGTAATATCACCGTAGGTACGTATTTTAGGATCACAGCTGCGGAGAGGGATCGAGTACTTAAGGCTTAACCCGCCACTCTATGGTCAATGGTATTCAGTATTCAATTCCTTGCATCACTCTCCATATTAAAACAAGGAGGGTCTGGAATTGCATGACATCATCTACCGCAAATTAAAGGGGTTGTGCATGCGTGGCTCCACAGGGTATTACCGCATACACCAGGGTGGAACATGCGCAGTAATCACATTAATTCACTTCCAAGTGTACTATATGTACACACACACACACAATAGGTTGGACTTGATGGACTGTCTTTATTCAACCTCAAATACTATGTAATGGAAACAACTTAACTGTCTCTAAAGCAATGTAGCAACAAATGACAGGATGAGGCTGGATGAGCTTTGTAGTTTACATAGTGTAACCTCTACAATTTAATGTAAGTGGATGCAAACTTGCCACAGATGTCCCAACATAGACCCCTTAACACATGCCACTCGTTGCGGGTGCAGTAGTAGTAATAATAATATTTGCACGATTATCACAACAGATGAGAGATAGCCAGTATAGCATGAGCACAGGTACAGTTCTGTTAGTCAGGATGCTACTTGCGGTTATGGAGGTTGTCCTTCTGATGCAGCCACGAAATGCCAGGCTGTTCTCATCTGCTGGAGTGTGGCTGGAGAGGACTTCTGGCAGCGAGGAGGGCAGAGGCAGCAGGAGCTGACGAGGGGATATGTCATAGAATAGAATGACATCACAAACATATTTTTCTTATGCCTATTCTACTTAGGAGATGTAAAGTGTCTCATCTGCCTTCTGGATAGCATAGCATAGGCATGTTTGGTATCAAACTGATTGTGACCTTCTCATACATTAGCATCTTCAATTTTATGAGTTTGGCTCCTTTATAGACAGAATTACGGAAATCGTATAAAACCTAACTTTGGGCAGCTGATCTGTATGTTAGCACAGGTCATTAACCCCGGTCTGACAGATGTGTATTCTCCCTCATTATTTTAGATATGACTATATGCAAGTGTCTGGTTTTCCAGCCCCCACTTTCTGTTAGCCATTAGCTGGCTTTGGTCTTATTGACAGGACATGGCAGGGTTGGTTGAAAATACTTTCCGACTTTACAGACCTTATCTAAGCAGGATTTAGATAACCCCCCCCCCCCCAGTTCCAGCTTGAGCTGCTTTAGTGGAATTTATGATGCCTTGCTTGTATCTGGAGCTGAAGGTTCACTTTGATTGTTTTGTCATTGAATTGTGAATTTTTTAAACAGGGTAGCACTTCATTCAGTACAACACTTCATTCTCCCCACTCAATTTGGGATTCATCAGACCTCATTATAAAGCATTAAATCTAGCATTCGCCAAACATTTATTACAAGCAAATCTCTCCTTTACCCACTTCCAGTGCCGGCCAGTTTTCAGCGCTGTGGAAGCTTGGCTGAGAATTCCTCCGTCACGCAACACAATTAATTTGATATAATTTTTGGGGGGGAAATATAGCTTTCTTCTAATGGTATTTAATAACCGATTTTTTTTTTTTTTACTATACAAGGTTAAAAAAAAGACCAAAAAGTTTGAAAAAAGCCTGTTTCTCTACTTTTGTTTATAAATCATAGCACAGAAAAAAAAGTCAGGACAGTATGAAAATCCCCCCTTTTTGTAAAGTAAACACTCCAAGGTGATTTTTTTTTTTTCTCCCCACAATTTTTTAGGAATTAAGAAACATGTCGGTATGGAGGGGGTTAATGTACAGGTCACATACAGTGGGAGGATGGAGATGAAGGGGTAATTTATAGATGTGCAGGATAAGGGAGGTGAAAGGGTTAATATACAGGTCAGCAAAAATAGTAGGGATGCACAGATACCAATTTATTTCAGACCGAGTACCAATACCATGTTTTTCTAAAACAATACAGGCTAATAATTTTAGGACAGTGGTAAAATGCCAGGGCCTGGTTGCAGCTGCAAACACTGCAACCCTGGTAGTTCTGCCACTTACTCCAAGCTGTAGAGGGACTACAAATCCCAGCAATACGTTATACAGAATACCACCAGCTATAGAGGACTACAAATCCCAGCAATACATTATACAGCAATGCAGAATGGCAACCGGCTATAGAGGACTACACATCCCAGCAATACATTATACAGCAATGCAGAATAATAATAATATTGTTGTATAATGCATTGCTGGGATTTAGAGCCGGTGGCCATTTTGCATTGCTGGGATTTGTGGTCCTCTATAGCTGATGGTAATATAATACAAATCCCAGCAATATCATTATACAACAATGCAGAATAATATGAAGCTACATATTCTGTGCAGCTCTGGGGTGCCGGCTTGATGTCTCCAGCGGAGGATCTCAGGAGGGCTGTGCAGGATCTCTGGCCCGGATGGTCTCACGGGTGGCGTGGTTCCCCAGGAAGGAGATGTGGCGCTGTAAAAAGGCACCGCACGGTTCACAGGAAGGCTGCCAAGGTCCTGAGCCATGGGATTCTGTCTCTGAAGGCTCACTTTGTGAGTAGGCCATGCAAGCCAAGCATCGGGAGCTACCTCATTAATAGGTTTGTGGGTCCATGTAACATCATTGCGTTTTGTCAGTTTACTGTGGAAGGGCAAGCACCTCCCTGCTGCTGCTCTTGATTGGAAATGACACATAGATACTCGTGAAAATAGCCAGTATCGGTACCGGTGCATCTCTAGTCTCTAGCTCTGTCTGCAAAGGTCAAAATTTTACTAGGGATGCAGCGATATATCGGCTGCCGAAACATATCAACCGAAAATGGCACTTTTGTCATAATGCCAAAAGTGCAATTTTCTGGCCGATACAGCGGTGCATCCCTGCTTTCTCTCCTCCCTGCTGGGCACTGCTCCATGTCCCAGTGGGGAGGAGAGAAACTGTCACAGGTGGCAGAGCGCTGTGAGCGGCCGCCATCTCTCCCACACTGCTCAGCCTCCTGTCACAGATAGGCAGAGCGGTGTGTGGGCAGAGACAGCCGACTGAACTCTCCTTCACCGCTCACTCAGCCTCCTGTGACAGTTGTCGGGAAGGAGAGCGAGTACAAACACTCAGTGATCGCTGAGTGTTTGTAAATAATTGAGGACAGAGTATGTTTACTATATCCACAATTATGAATGATTGGGAAATCATCTACATCACTTCCTGTCCATTCATGATTGTGGTTAAAGTAAACATACTCTGTCCTCATGTTATTAATGAACAGGAACACTCAGTATAGACGATTCCTGTTCATTTATCTGTGTTCTCAATCTCTTTTTCTATTTTAAAAGGGAAGTATCAGAGGTCTGTTTAGACCCCCAAATATTTCCCCGAAGCCACTAAAAGTAAAGTAAAAAATAAAAAACATTTTAGGTTTTGGCCTGACTTCATTTCGGTGCACCTCCTAAATTTTACTTCCATTTTTTTCAGCAGAATCCAATTATCATATTTTCTCATGGCATTAGCTGACTCTGAGCCTTCAGTTACCGAGACTCTCTGATGTCGAGTCTTGAGTTCTTAATGGGTGGCACTACACTTGAGGAGTCACAGCTACCATTACTCCCAGACTGCAAGGGTTAACTGCTCGTTTTTGTCTAGGTTAAAAAAAAAAAACTCACCTGAGCCACGGAGCCAGCTTGTTTATTTCTTCTCTCATCCCTTCTCTGAATGACCCCTTGAAAAACTACCACGGTACCCCTCCAATATGTCTTAAAGATCACAACAGTCCATACAGCATATAGAAATATATATAAGCATCGCTGTAATATGGACGGTTAAACCGTATGATGAATTGATGTGCTAAATGTATAATAAAAGGTATCTCATGTTAAATCTCGTCTCATCCAAATGTCACCCCTTCTAATTCAGCGCCACCAATGGAACATTCAGGGGCCATGCAATGAGGACTACCTCAAAGCCATCCATCCAGAGCAGTATAGCCATACAGCTTGTATCACTAATTCATTATATTGGCAGCTCTACGATAGGCACACATATCCCCTATTAGATCACCTTAAAAGATTAATGGGAGCTGGTAATTTAGTGGTCGTGTAGAATAATCAGCAGACATTTTTGGTCAATATAGGAGACCAAAATACTCTCTCACAGAAGTTGGTTGAGGTCAGAAGCCGGTCCCACAAAGCAAGGGGGCTCTACTAAAGCAAATCCAGCAGCTGGTTGGATTTGCTCTTGTGGAGCCCACTGCCCCTGAATACTCCACTGGCAGCACTAAATTAGAAGGGGTGATATTTGGATGAGATGAGAATTTAACATCACATACCTTTTTATATTTATCATTTATTTTTATTTTTTTTACTCATTACTTCAAACTGGGAGAACTTTTGTGCATTGGCCTTTTAAAAGACAACCTAACTTTAAATGAAGTATGCCAGGAACATGGAGTTGACATTAGGAGGTGTAGTATTGTAAGATTTTAGAGATGTGATTGTAATGTTGACCAAAGCTCCAGTGACTGCTCTTCCCCTTAGATATTACAGACATTTCACCACTTACATATAGACATTTCAGATATAGTGAAATTTGATGAGGTCAGTATCTGCATCCATATGAATGTATTTTTCATAAATGCAGTGTTTTCTTTCCGTTTAGGTCCACTAAACCAGCAAACTGGCTACCGCTACGGGAAAAAAGCAAAACAAAAAAAAAATGGAAGAAGTAGTTGACGAAGAGGAAGAAGAATACGTGGTTGAAAAGGTGTTGGATCGGCGGGTTGTTAAAGGAAAAGTTGAATATCTTTTAAAGTGGAAAGGTTTTTCTGAGTAAGTACTTTTGTCTTGGAGGTTGTCAGTACCATAAGTCAGGGGTGGACAAATGATTATGGAATTCAGGAGCCTGTCTGTCCAGTCCATGAGCTAGCGGGATGTTTTTTGTTTTTTTTTGTAGGCGCCAGCTCCATTGATAACAACTAGAGAAAACCTCAAAAGTTAGGAGCGAGCTGTAATTTTTTAGGAGCATTGGCTACCTGGATCCTAAGATTTGTCCAGCCCTGCCATAACTGAATCAGTGTATGCAGTTGAGACAGGACAACAAACATGTAGAGGATGCATATATCTGCACTAAACTCTATGATAACAGTAAAGTTTAGGAAAAGTATTGTATTTTAAATAAAAATATTTGAAAACAAGCGAGGAGAATATTTTTCTTAATACAGAACTCCAGTTTTAAAAATAATAGTCCAGTTAAATAGAAAATTAGGCATTAGAAGCTGAAAGCAGAACTCCATGATGTCCAAAAATGTATCCTTGCAATGGGGGGCTACTCCCGCACTGCAAGGTTTAATAATAACCAGCAGAGTGGACCTGATCGGCAACTAGTCCCTCAACATCACCATCAGGCTCCACCTACTGTCAGCGTCTCTGGATAAGGACGCTGTCGGCTACAAAGCATACCATACATGGGTATTTAGAATGCCTAGGTGCTCCAATATGTGGATACTTTTCTGGGTTGATAGGTCAAGTAACTATTACCAACTGAGGCTCAGTGAGGCCGCCTATTAAAAGTAGTGGGCCTTACTCATTTCTATGAGGTGTGATGAGTGTGGCCATATGCTAGACCTTGTAATGTTTTGCTTGCCGAAGGACCTTTGTTGGCACCCAAGCTGCATAAATAAAAAAAATAAAAAAAACGGTGCTGACATGTAGGCAATCAAAAGTCCCCTCTCCATGCTAGCAACACTAGTGCCTTCGTCCGGTACCCAGCCCGAGCCGTCCAATCAGGAAGCCAGGCGCCATCCAATGACGCGACGCCCTGCTTTCTGATTGGCCGGGAAGCTGGCTTCATGCTCCCTCGTCATCTCATGACAAGAGAGCATGGAGCCGGCCACTCAGGAAGCAGGGCGTCGCGTCATTACACGGTGCCCGGGTTTCCTGATTGGACGGCTTCGGCTGGGTACCGGACGAAGACCGCGTTCTCGCTGGAGAGGCCCCGGGGGATGACATGCTGCACATACTAAGGTAAGAGGGGACTTTTTGTTAATCGGGAAGCCGGGTAGCGACTCTTTACACGCTGCCCGGCTAATCAGGAAGCCAGGTGGCGAGTCATTACACGCCACCTGGCTTCCTGAATGGGACTTCCGTTACTCGGTAATTGGTATCGGCGAGTACCGAAAAAACATTTATCGGTACTCGTACTCGGTACCAAAATACCGGTATCGGTGCATCCCTACTCTCTACAGTATGGTCTCCATTCACTTCAATGAACAACGCATAGTCTGTAAATAGCTTGTTATTGTAATAATGTGAACGGAGGCTGTGAAGCAAAGCAACCATTTTGCAGGAGCAGAGTTGGGAGTGGGATACTCACTCGTTTGTCCAATATTTCCAATAACCATGTACTTATTGAAGGTTTTCAGTGCTTTGATGGTGAGTCATGAGGGCACAAGTTAGATTCACAACTGTATATTTTGAGTTTTACACATAAGCTTATGACGGGGTTGGCAAATCATTTGGAATCTAGGAGAGCCAGTCTGTCCAATCCAGAGGTGTGTTCAGTTCCTTAGGAATGCGCTGAGAAGCTGTTCTGCAGCTCTTCAGTTCGCTGCAGCAGCTTCACTGAACGCTTCGGCTGCACAGTTCTAAACAAATTGGCGGAGGATTCAGTGTTAAACTCTGCCATTGTTGCAATTTCAGACAGTTTTTCCTTCACACTCGTCTACCAAAACATTAAATTGTAGGTTTCCACACTAAATTGTGATTTGCTACATCGGGGCTCAGGCACCCTTCTCTGGGTGTGCCCATAGTTACAATGGCCGCTGGAGATCTGTCCCTGCCTTCTCCTACTATGCACGTCACGCTCGGCGTTCTGCAGCCACATTCACTTCCACTGCAAGTGCTAAGTTAACAGTGCTGAGCTGACTATCTCAGCACTTACAGCGACTTAGCATCTGAACGCGCCTCAGGAACCAGAAGAATTTTTTACAAGCCAGCTCCGTTGACAGCAACTAGAGAGAACCTCAAACGTTAGGAGCCAACAGTCCTATTTCAGGAGCATTGGCAAGCTGGGTCTTGGGATTTGTCCAGCCCTGGCTTATGGTCTCTCCCTAGTACAGAAAAATGATTTAACAGTTGATGCCGCCATTTACACCCAAGTGTGAGCATAGCCTGAAGATCATGCAGGCCTTTTTTGTGTGTGCTTGTACACTAGTACCAGAACAGATTCAAATGGTTTTTGCTCCATGCATTTTTGAGTGGAAATGCCTGAGAATGCATGTAAATGTGTTTTTCAGGTGCTCCCATTAAAGTTGATGGGGCCAAAAAGCACATATCCGCCTCAAAGAAGCTTGTGTACTTTCCCGAGCTTCACATGGCAGGCGACAAGCGACACAATGCTCAAGTGTGAACCGGCCTATTGAGAATAGGATTCTTCAGTTTAAACGTTGTGCTTCAGAAATCATGCCACGAAGCACTCAGGTATGAATGGTGAAAGGTAACTGCACACATTAAATGAAATGTCTTAAGGGGATATTGGTTGTCAATTCCTCTGGTGTTTGCAGTGAAGACAACACATGGGAGCCTGAGGAGAACCTGGATTGTCCAGATCTGATTGCCGAGTTCCTGCAGTCACAGAAATCTGCACACGAGTCGGAGAGGTCGGAAGGAAAACGCAAAGCAGATTCAGACAATGAGCCTGTTGTGGGTGAAGAGAGCAAGCCCAAGAAGAAGAAAGAAGAGGTAAGATTGTTTAAACTGATTATATAGGGTTATCCCTATGTAAAGGTGCACTTTGTCTTAAAGTTTGCCCACTTACAAAGAAATGAAAGGTCTAGAATTTTTATCATAGGTGTATTTTAAATCATAGAGACAGAATATCAACCAAAATTCTAGAAAAAACACATGGTACAAATGTTATAAATTGAGTCACAGTATTTGATCCCCTACCAACCAACAAGAATTCTGGCTCCCACAGACTTGCTATGTGGTACACAGATTAGTCCTGTCAATTTAAGAAGTTATATACATAACTCGTTATGTATATAAAAGACACCAGTCCACAGAATCTTCCATTCAAACCTCACCACCATGGGCAAGACCAAAGAGCTGTCAAAGGACGTTAGTTAGTGACAAGATTGTAGAACTGCACAAGGCTGGAATGGGCTACAAGACCATCAGCAAGAAGCTTGGTGAGAAGGAAACAACTGTTAAAGCGATTATTCGCAAATGGAAGGAATACAAAATAACCATCAACCGCCCTCGGTCTGGAGCTCCATGCAAGATGGGTTAAGGATGATCATGACAAAAGTGAGGGATCAGCCCCGAACTACACGGGAGGAGCTTGTGAATGATCAGTTGGAACCACAGTCACCAAACAAACCATTGGTAACGCAATACACCGCCATGGATTGACATCCTGCAGAGCCAGCAAGGTCCCCCTCCTCAAGAAGGCACATGTACAGACCCGTTGGAAGTTTGCCAATGAACATCTAAATGATTCAGAGAAGGATTGGGAGAAAGTTCTGAGGTCAGATGAGACCAAAATTGAGCTCTTTGGAATTAACTGGACTCGCTGTGTTTGGAGGAAGAAAAATGCTGACTATGACCCTAAGAGCACCATCCCTACAGTCAAGCACGGAGGTGGAAACATTATGCTTTGGGGCTGTTTCTCTGCTAAAGGTACAGGCCGACTTTGAGGGGCCAATGGACGGGGCCATGTAAAATCTTGGATGAGAACCTCCTTCCCTCAGCCAGAACACTAAAGATGGGCCGTGGATGGGTCTTTCAGCATGGCAATGACCCAAAACATACCGCCAAGACAACAAAGCAGTGGCTCAAGAAGAACCACATTAAGGTTATGGAGTGGCCTAGCCAGTCTCCACACCTTAATCCTATAGAAAATTTATGGAGGGAGCTGAAACTTCTAGTTGCCACGCGACAGCCAAGAAACCTTAAGGATTTAGAGAAGATCTGTAAAGAAGAGTGGACCAAAATCCCTCCTGAGATGTTTGCAAACCTGGTAACCAACTACAAGAAACGTCTTACTTCTGTGCTTGCCAACAAGGGTTTCTCCACTAAGTCATGTTTTGCTTGGGGATCAAATACTTATTTTAGTCACTGAACTGCAACTCAATTTATAACATTTGTATCATGTGCTTTTCTGGATGTTTGGTTGATATTCCTCTCCTATCATTTAAGATACAACCTAGGATAAAAATTATAGACCTTTCATTTCTTTTTAAGTGGGCAAACTTACAAAATATGCAGGGGATCAAATAATTATTTTCCTTACTGTATATGTTGTTACTGCTCTTTGTGCCTGAAATTTGCCTTGATTGTGTGTGGACAAATATGAGTTTGCATTATTCAGCTATGGAGGATATATATTTTATTGTAATTAACATTGCTTATATTTACAAGTCTGGTATAAGGACACTTTTTTTTTATGAGACGAACGTAGACTGCCTTTGGTGATCCCGTTGAGGAAGTGAAATGCCTGGGATTATGCTTTGGCTTCAATACTTTGACAGGGATCAAGTTTGGAGACCAGAGACCAGAAACGCTGACTTTTCTCCCACTTTAATTTTCTGCGTTTTTGCTTTGAGCCTTTCTGTATTGAAGCCAGACACAGCAAGGCAACTCCAATAAAGATCAGATAGTCACCAGCACTCACACAATGTATCATTGATCCTATTACGTTTTATTGAATCATCGTCACCATTTGTCATACACAGCCAATGTTTCGGGGGCCACATAGGGTCTCTTCCTCAGGGTTACATAGTGACCTCATAGTGAGGAGCACCATCATCTTGCAAGGTCACAACGCTGTATGGAGTGAAGGTGACTAACGACACTACAGCAAGGCAACTAACACTTTCTGACGGGGCCAATATTGACAGACCCCATCGTTCTTTTATAACAGGTACATTTTAAAGTAACGGTTATGTAAAATCTTCCGGGGTTTGGGCTGGTAGCATATTCGAGGCCTAAAGCTGACCATATGCTTCTACAATAATTCCCATTCAGCCCTGCGGGGCTACAATTAAGATTTCTGATTCTTTTTCTTCTCATATTCTGACTTGAGTGCATGTCTCCAACTTACAATAGGTTATGAAAGGAATATGCAGGCTACCATTGCTGACCTCTTTCAGAAAATGCTAACTGCCTGGCAGTCCCTGGGTACAATATTTCATAAGTCACAGATCCAATACAAGCATGCAGCAAATGAAATCGGAGAGAAGCCAGGTTTCCCGATCTGCATACTTGCCCTGGTCACTGTTTCAGAACACACTTAAGCAAGGTGATAAGTTGTAAAGGTTTTTCAGAAAGAGATCGCCAATGGCAACCCATTATAATACTTTCATGATATACGTCATTTATATGTGCAGAAATATTATCAGTATATATTTTGTATGTATAAAAATCATAGGTTGCATTTTCTTTTCCCCATGGTCAGTTAGGTGACACTATATCTTTGCAGTGGCCAAAAGACACCAAATTATCAAAATCTCTTAAAAAAATACTCGTATAAAGAATTCAAGTAAGCAGTGTTTAAGTTTAAACCATCCGTTGAACAAAATCGGAGGATGTTTTATTGAAATAGCCATCTCTGTGTGGAAACTATATTTGGGGGTCACATGGACAAACTTCGACAGGCCCTGCAGAAAAATTCTAATCATCTGCAAATTGTTGTGGCTTCCTTTCTGCGTGAAATCATACAAAAATATAGAGCTGCAGCTAACGATTATTTTCAAAATCGATTAGTTAGCCGATTATTAAGTTCGATTAATCGGTTAATCGGATAAACTATAAAATAAAGTTTAAAAAATGGCTCCAGTGATGGGACTACTAGTTTGTATTTTGGATGTGGATGGGCAGGAAATGTGAGGCGGGGAGGAGGTGCGACGTGTGGAGCGTGGATGCGAGCGGGTCTGGCAGCGGCGAGCGTGAGGTGGGGAGGAGGTGCGGTGCACAGCGTGTGGAGCTGTGAACAGGGCCAACTGATCAGAAGCCGATTAATCGATTATTGAAAAAGTTGACAACTTTTTCAATAATCGATTATAATCGATTATGTCGATTAGTTGTTGCAGCCCTACAAAAATAGATGATTCTTTGCAGATGTGGATCTTCTCCTTGGCCTCTAGGCGAAGATTTGCACATAGAAAATACTGTATTTGCAGCAGTAATAGGGGGAGAGCCCTGTTCTTGGGATGTTGGAATTCACATACCTCTTATATGCTAGTGCAAGGGCTTTAAACCAGGAACGCAGTATAAATATTAAATGATGCCATTGAGTTAACCACTTCAGGAGGGCGGACGTATAAACATCTGGCTCCTGAAGAGGTTTTACCAAGAACACGGTTGCTGCTGCAATGGCTGTTCAGATACAAGCGATCCGGTGGCTATATAGCCACCGGATCACTTGTGCCATGCGGCGAAGTGTACTCCCCTTAGCCACCGCCCCAACCTCCTCTGCCAGCTACCCTTGGCTCCCTTGCCCCCTGTGCAGACTGGCACGGCAGGTCTCCCCGCATTGATCGGCGGGAGATCAGCAAGCTTCTAGCCGCTGATCACTGGACCTGGAAGTGATGTGTATTACATCACTTCCGGTGTCACTGTGCACATTCTCTGGGTCCTGTAGCCAGGAGAAGAAGCTGGTGAAGCAGATTGCTTACTTCATCAGCTTCTTTGTGGTCCTTAGGTGACATTAGGGAACTGACAGACCCCTGATGTCACCATAAAGAGGACCTGTCACATCATATTTGCTATTACATAGGGGGCTGGTTAGATTAAAGTAACATAAAGTGTAAACAATGCAAAAAAAAATGTTTTAACATCCTTTTTTTTTAAACGCAAACTGCGTCGGGTGCACCTACTTGCAAAAACGAAAATTGCGCCATACATGTTACATATCACTGTGAACGTCTGAGTGAGAGCACTGATTATAGGGCCATCAATCACAGTTAACACTAACCTGATGAGCAGTAAAAGCTTTTAAAGCGTCGCCTATGGTAAACTTTGAGTATTGTAGTTTTTTTGCCATTTTAAATCTTGACAAGTTTGGTATCTATTTACCTGACGTGACCCCGTCTTTTATATTTTACCAAAAATTGAGTATTATATTCTGTTTCTGTGCACTAAATTTCGTTTTAGTGTACTTTATCCTAAAAATTCTGGTTTGATAAACATTTATGCAAATAATGCGCAACTAAAAAAATTGCAACTAGCATTTTTTTTCATTCTACAGGGCCTCTGCTTTCAGAAAATATATACTTGTTTGGGTGCTTTAAGCTGTTTTCTAGCCCAAAATTCTGATTTTATCATGTGTGTGCAAATAGTAAGAAATTGCAACGGACAGCAAGTGGTTAAGCACAAAACTGGTCCTCTGGGGGGAGTGGATCAGCCAATCCGTGTCTTACAGATCTTTTGTGCTCCCTTGTTGTGCCTCTTCTCGGGTATCATAGCAGTTGAAGGAAATGTATGGTACTTCTTAGCAGCTTAGGTTATAGATAATAGGTGGCTATAAATCATTTAGATTTCATAACATGGTTTTGTTGTATTTTAATCGAACAGTAAAGCCGTCCATACACTGGTTGAGATTCGGGCAGCGATTGGCCACGTTTTTTTTTATCCACTTTTGTCGAAGAAGCCGATCTGAAAATTCTCGGCTGAACAGAAACTGCAGCCATTCAGCCCACGGGGCTGAATGAAGGAAAAGTGATGGTGTATAGCCATCAGTCAGTCAGGTCGGAGAAGTATGTCCAATCACTATCTTTTCTCCTGAATAGCTGGTGGTGATGGAAGCGCAGATCAACCTGTAAATATCAATTACATCGATTAGCAGCTAACAAACCTGCAGGCATTGACACTAATCTCTTTTTATAAATAGGACCGCCCCGGAAGGAAGGAAAAAGAATCTTTAGCGTAACAGGCAAGCATGCAAGTTTATAACTGTGACAAACCTTTCCTATTACTGTGATAGTGGCCATATGATTGGCAGCCACATAGGTTGGTCCTCATCCAAGACCTGCCTTGTGAGAGCTGAATGCATACAGTAGGGTGCTGTTTGGTTGGAGCGAAAAGGATAAAAAACATTAGGATTTATAATCCAATGTCTGCTCAACCTATATGTCCCGTATTACCTGATCTTTAACGCCCTTTTTGTTATTGTCCACTGATACAGACATGGTGTTTTACTTTTTGCAGGTAGAGAAGCCCCGTGGATTTGCTAGGGGCTTAGAGCCAGAAAGGATCATTGGAGCCACAGACTCAAGTGGAGAGTTAATGTTCCTGATGAAATGGTGAGTTGGGTCCCCATACACTATTTGGTTCTATGTTTGTAAAATAAATAATGACACAGTGTGATATGTCATGTATTAATGTTCATGTGAGATTGTATTTACAGTGGCTTGCAAAAGTATTCACCCCTTTTGGCATTTTTCATATTTTGTTGCATTACCACCTGGAATTCAAATGGATTTTTATTTTGATTACAACACAAAACAATCCAAAATGGTGAAGTGAAATCAGGAAAATAACTTGTTTTAAAAAAAAATAATAAAATCTAAAAAACAGAAAAAAACATATGTATTCACCCCCTTTGCTATGAAGCCCCTACATAAGATCTGGCGCAACCAGGAAAAAAAGCCATTGCTTACGGAAAAAAGAATAAGCAAACACGTTTGCTGTTCGTCAGAAGGCATGTAAAAATTCAACGTGGTAAAAAAAATAGTAAAATACATATTCAAAATTGACAAAACAGTAGAATAAAATAAAAAAGTGATTTAAAAAAAAAAGTCCTAGACCTTTCTGCTTCTTTTGACACTGTTGACCACCTGCTCCTCCTCAAAAAACTCCACTCGCTTGGCCTACAAGACTCTGCTCTCTCATGGTTCTCCTCCTACCTATCTAAGGGCTCCTTTAGTGCCACCTACAAATCTAACTCCTCTTCCTCTTTCTGTAGGGGTCCCACAAGGCTCTGTCCTTGGAGCCCTTCTTGTCTCTATCTACACCTCCTCCCTTGGTCAATTAATAACCTCACATGGCTTCCAATACGACCTCTATGCCGATGACACTAAAATCTATCTTTCTACTCCACAACTCTCCCCCTCAGTGTCCTCTCGTGCACTAATCTACTATCTGACATATCCGTCTGGATGTCTCAACACTTCTTAAAACTCAACCTTTCAGAAACTTGGCTCTTGATATTTCCTCCTGCCTGTGCACCTTCCCCCAACTTTTCCCTTGAGATTGATAACACAACAATCCATCCCTCCCCCATGCCAAGGTACTAGGTGTCATCCTTGACTTGGACCTCACCTTTCTTCCCCACATCCAATCATTATCCAAATCCTGCCGCCTTCACCTTTGTAACATCTCCAAAATTTGTCCCTTCCTCACCAGTGAAACCACAAAATTACTCATCCACTCCCTTTGTTATATCTCGTCTTGACTATTGCAACTCCCTCCTCATTGGCTTACCTCTACACAGGCTATCCCCTCTTCAGTCTGTCATGAATGCAGCTGCTAGACTCATCCACCTAACCAACTGCTCAGTGTCTGCACCCCCTCTGCCAATCACCCAAAGGATAACATTCTAAATACTAACAACCACTTACAAAGCAATTCGCAACTCTGCCCCACCGGTTATATCTCGAACTTTGTCTCAAAGTATCACCCTAATCGTCCCCTCCGCTCTTCCAAAGACCTCCTGCTTTCCGGCTCCCTCGCCAACTCCTCCCATGTTTGCCTCCAGGACTTCTCTAGAGTCTCTCCCATTCTTTGAAACTTCTTACCCCAACCTGTCCGACTATCTCCCACTCTGACTGCCTTTAGGCGATCCCTAAAGACTCATCTCTTCAGGGAAGCCTATTCCACCTCTTACTAACCACTAAACCATCACGTTCTCAAACAATTCATCCCCACACAGCTACCTCCTCATGTACCACTTGACCCTCCTCTTTTTAGATTGTGAGCGCTCACGGGCAAGGCCCTCCTTACCATCTTGTCTTGAATTGTGATTGTAATGTCTTCCTTATATTGTAAAGCGCTGAGTAAACTGTTGGCGCTATATAATCCTGTATAATAATAATTGGAAAAAAAGTTTTATACCCTAAATTCACGCAAAGCATTACTGCAAGATTTTCTGTATATCCAGATAAATTGAACGAAAATCTGATACATTTAGGTGAATCCTGATTCATTTCATATTCCTCTGATTATATGCTTTAGGGGTTGTATACACCCTCTTTGGATCCCTAGTATTAAAGCATAACCTTTCTATTCAACTCCTCTTTGGCCTTCCTTTATGGTAAATCAGGGATGTTTTGTGGGGTTCTGGCAACAATGTGGAAATCCAATTTTATTAAGTTTTTAATAACATCTATGTCGAGCTTTTATTGCTGTCTGTAGACCCATTTTGAATGTATTGCTTCTCTTTCTTGCCATGTTTAAAAATAAAAACTTTAAAAAAAAATATTAATCGTTATTAAAATAAACTGAAAAATGCAATAAAAAAATGGCTGAGGGCAAAGAAGGAGTTAATTAGGGCTGCCTAGGGGAAACAAAAGGTGCTAAATTGGAACAATTAATAAACTTTTATTTTGGGGTTGCTTTAACATCATATGCAGATAGAGGCCTCACCCCTTTGCTCTGCAGATGAATGAAACCGTAAATACAAAAGTGATGATTTTTCACCTTTTTAAGTTCCATTAGTGAAATAAATGAACTTTTGCACGATATTCTAATTATTCGAGTTTCACCTGTACATGTATCTCTAGGTCATATCTGAATAGTGTTTGAGACCCCATTCACACTGAGCGGTTTGTCGCACGATTTCCGCTCCAAAATCGTGCATATTTCTGTGCAATGTTGCTCAATGTAGCTTGTCCAATGCATTTCAATGGAGCTGTTCACATCTTACAGCTCAATGTCGCCTGTAGCTCGTCGCTCAAGCTTGTAGCTCAAACATGACCTATTTTTCGGCAGATGTCGCCCGATTTGGCCCCAATAGACTGCATGGTGTTGCGCATTACCGGCGATATTGCACGACCTTGTCACGCTACAGAAGGGTCACTTTTGCATAGCAATATGGAAGGAAAGAATGATGTCACATCAAGACTGCTGTTGATTGGTTACAGCCCAATGTAGCAGAGACGAAGTTGCACTACGCAGCAAAATGTGCACTGTCGCTCAATATCGCGCAATGTAGCTCAATGCCGCTCATCACGAAAAGAAGCGCGCGATTCTCCATGTCGCTCAGTGTGAATGGGGTCTTAAAGTACTGTCTCCAAAGTGGCTGCTGGCTTTCATTTTGACAGGTGGTAAATGCTACAGGTGAAAAGGACATTGTACTTCAATAATTTTTTTTATGGGGGGGGGTATTCGTATTATGCCCAATGTCCACAGCTGATTACGTACTCCCAACAGCTAATTTTCTTTAAGATTTCCTTCACCTTGCACAGCTTATTTATTCAGCTTTATTGGCTTGGTAATTATGACAGCTGTTTGACCTGAGGGAAACTCTGAAAACATGAGCTGTTGGGGTTACTCGAGGACTAGTTGAGTTGAGTTGAGAAATGCTGCCTTGAAAGATTACATTCCGCGCTTATCATCCTCTTATCTATATAATTGTTATTGTACAAGTTTGTATTCCACACTAATCCTACTTGCTCTTGATATAAATTCCTCTCTCCACCTCTGGCTTGTTTACTACAGGAAGAGCTCAGATGAAGCCGATCTTGTCCCAGCAAAGGAAGCTAATGTGAAGTGTCCCCAAGTGGTGATCTCGTTCTACGAGGAGCGGCTCACGTGGCATTCTTACCCATCAGAGGATGATGACAAAAAGGAAGACAAAAGCTAAATGCCACATACAGCTATTACTACAACTGATGGACCGAGGGGTCGTTCATCAGCCTGGGGAGGGGGACGTGAGGATGTCTGCAGGATTCAGTATTTCTTGCATAGCTGAAGGTGTTTCATGAGTGTAGCCCAGGAAACAATGCACCCTGGACATTTCTTCTCCGCTTCCCTTCTAGTGTTACAAACTCTGCATTTTTTACTGAGTAGCATGTTTTGTTTGGCTGTTAGTGATGTTTGTTTTTAAAAAAAAAAAACAGTTCTGAGATCTTAGTGGGTGGGAGGATAAAATGTCCCTTTTTGTATTTTAATCATTTATTAAAAGAGAACTATAGCCAAACCTTTATTTTGGCTTCAGGTCTCATTTGGTTAATAGGAGAACATTTACTGTCTGTTCCTCCAGTGAGCGCTGGAGGAATAGAGAGAGGGAAGGTAAAATCCCTGCGTGGAGCGGTGGCTGAGAGTCACCGCTCACTGCAGGGAGAAGCCGCAAACTGAGCAATCAGCGGTTTGTGATTACTCAGTTGAGCGATAGAGCCGGTGTATGACAGCTGCAGTGTCACATGTCAGCTCAAACTATTGGGAAGAGTACATTTTACTTTTCCAGTAGTTCTCCTTTAAGAAATATACGGTTTCCAAAAAGTGGATCCTTTTTAATCGATATCAGTGGTTCTTACGCTGTCCAGCAATTATGTGGTCTTTTAAACACGACTGAGCCCTTACAAAGCTAGCCTGCCACTGGGTAAATGGAGGAGGGGCTCTTGTACTGTAATATACTGAAACCTGGAGGCTGGCATTGTTGGCCCCCTAAAATAGCTGTCTCTGGCTTTAAATATTTTTGAGTCGCTAACCAAGCACAAGTATTCCAATCAAGAAAATAGGAGTGAGGTCAACTCTTAATCTGCATACTCCTTTTCGGTAAGTGACTTAGAAAGTACTTGGGCCACTAGACCATCATAGCCAGCGAACTAGCGTTTTTACTTTTTAAGGATAGGTTAATTATGATAGCCTCCATGATTCCTCATTATAGTGTTCCTATAAACCAGGATGTCGCTAATCCCTAGCCAAAGGGGTACTTTTATGTGCCTGGCATAGGGATTTTTTTTTATATCTCTTGAATCTTTCCAAACGGGAGCCCTGACGGTTGTGGTCTCAATGCGGGCTACTTGGGGGATCCTGTAAAGAATAATTGTATAAACCTGTTTCTTTCGTTTTTTTTTTTTTTCGTTTTTTTTTTTTCCAAGCATTTGTTTTAGGATTCTGTGAGGACTTTTATTAAAATGTAAATCAAAACACATTTTGTCGGTCATTGTCCTAATAAAACGTTTAGATTTATAAAATATTGTCATTTTGTTTTTTCTTTCCTTCAACCCTTTGCTCAAAAAAAAATATTTTTTAGAAATTAGTGGAAGTACTCCTGTGTCAAAATAAAGTGTCACAAAATGTCATATTAAATATAGCTGTTTTTCATGGGCTCCAGAGAATCTAAATAAACGGCAAGTCCAAGGAGCTTTGGGGAAAAAACATTCCTGGATCAAGAAGCATGTCTAAGAGTTGCGAGATTAAAAAAAAAAATTAAAAAAGGTGCTAATTACCCAACATGCAGCATAAAACTGATTACGTTAAAAAAATGGAGCCTAATAGAGCAGCGGTTGCCAACCGGTGGTCCGCGAGAACAATTTAGTGGTCCCCGGGCCCCTCTGATGCCGTGCAGGCTGGGCCGTCATTGAGCAGCGGCTGTCACAAGGAATGCGCGGCTCTCATTACAGTGCGGGCTCTGCAGGAGGCGGGGCATCTCGCCAGTACCTGGACTGAGCAGGCTGCATGACATAGAAAAAGTGGGGAGAAGCCAGGTAATAGTGGCTCAGTGTGGGGGAAGGGGTGGTTGGGGGCAGTACTAAAGCTAGGAGGGGGCATGATTCGATAGGGGTGAAACAATTAATATTATAACTGCTGCGGGCGACACCGCTCCCTCCCTCCCTCCACCAGCACTACCACTCCTGCAGGCACACCCGCACCTATATATGTATGTGGATATATTCTCATATTTCTTGTTTCCTCATATATAAATATATTCTCATGTGTGTGTAGATAGATAGATATAGATACACACACACACATATTAAAATATATTTATATATGAGGAAACAAAGAATATGTATATATATATATATTATTACTGACGTGGAAGAATCACACATCAAAAATGTCAAAAGTGTGTCAGTCATTTACGAACAGAAACTAAAAACAAGCTCAGTCATGAAGGGGTTAAAAATACAAAAATTAAAAATAAAGCCAATAAAAATATATTATATAATAGTATGTTGCAGCTTATCATTTAGGTGTGGTGGCTGCATTTTTTTTTCTTTTAAGGTTTTTTTTTTTCCCCTCCCTATTTTATACCTGGTGATCCTGCCAGTAGCACACTTCCTGTCCTAAGGCGATGATCGCTAAGTTGCGTTATCTGTGGAGGAGCAGCATTGTTCGTCTATGACAGGAAGTGTTTTAGGACTACAAAACACCTTCATAACAGAGATGTTGTATAGTCCGCAGAGAGAGCACATGAATGTATTTCTGGCTGGGTCAACAGGTATTTTTTACCCATTCACTTATTGAACATTTTTTTTTTTCAAAAACATTTTATTGTGTTGACAATTCAAGGAATGTTTACAACATGTTTTGCATGGCATCATCAACAGTTTTCCATTTTTCTTTTTTCCAACAACTTCGCATATACATAATCTTGCTGGATCTATTGAACATTGCATATCCTATCCTAAGGTACATTTTGTAGTGCGACCCCGCGGTAGGGTTTATACTGCGTGGTATATCCATCATTGTATTTAATAGAGGAGTGTTCTAGGGTGGCACGGGCAAGAGCAAGTGGCCCATCTTGGCGCCCACTCGCTCTCCCTCCCCCCTTTTCTTTGCTATACTGTCTTCCCCTCCATCCTTCTCTATATCTTAGGGTGCTTTCCCCTAAGAAACATCTACCGCTTGGTCGCCACCTAACTTATCCAAGGAGACAATGAGACAGTCAACTAGTCTCTATTTGAACATTTTACCTAGATTCATTGTTATCATCATAAACTCACCGACTTCCTCAGCTTCTCCTCTCCCTGGGCGCCCCATATGTTCCTCTGGCATCCTCTCCACTTGATCACTCCATTCCAGCAGATCACCACTCGAATATTTTCCATACATTTTTACTCGTACTGAGCCTGCCCATTCCCTCTGTGTTGTTTAGACATGCATATATTTTCTTAATGGGGTAGTATTTAGATTGTATTACCAGGTCTAGAGAGTTTGTTTTAAGAAAAAATTGTGGTGTGCGTGTTTCACTCTTCCAATAATGGGTGAGTTGAGAGTAAAATAAAAAATGACTTCTGGGAATTTGGAATCTTTCGCATATGATTGGAAAAGTTACCGGCTGAAATGAGTCTGGATCAAATACCTGTGTCATTGATGATAGACCTTTCGAGTCCCACTCTTTATAGGCTGCGTAGTTTTGTCCAGGTAGGAATTGGGGATTGCCTCTCAAAGGGAGATATTTAGATATGTATGGGTGAGAGTTAAGTTGTAGTCTAGAAGCCCTCCATGCCGCCACTGTGTCCCTTATTATGATGCTACGCTTCAGTATTGTAGGTAATCTAGAGTTTCTGGTATGAAGGAGAGCTGTGAGAGACCATGGGGCAACCCAAGCTTGCTCCAGAGATAAGTTGGAGTACTGAGATAAGCCAGTTATCCAGTCAATTGAGTGTCGGAGTAGACAAGCCAGGTTGTATGTTCTAATATCTGGCATGCCTAGTCCGCCATCATCTTTGTGTAGCTTTAATTGTCGGAGGGGTATGCGAGATCTCCTGGATTTCCATAGAAATTTATTGTAGGTCGCTTCTATTAGCTTGACGTCTTTATGTTTTATCAGTACAGGGATAGTTTGCATTGGGTATAATAATTTCGGGAAACTAACCATTTTTATCAGATGAGCTCTGCCAAAGAGCGAGAGGGGCAGTGAGGACCATCTATTAAGTTCTGCCAATATCTTATTCAGTAGGGGGGTGTAATTAAGATTATATATAGTAGAGGGGCGCTTACCTATTTTTATACCCAAGTATGTGATGCTTTCCTTTGCTATGCGAAATCCTCCCCTGCATTTCTCTGGCATAGTCGGGCGATTTAAAAGTAATATCTCGCTCTTGTCTATGTTTATTTTATAGCCCGAGATGTCTCCAAAGCTTCTCAATGAAGTTTGTAGAGTTGGGATATCTTTCTCCACCTCAGAGGTAAAGAAAAGCAAGTCATCCGCAAAGAGCGCCGACCTCAACTCTTGATCTCCAATTTTTATGCCATGGATAGTGTCCGTCTGTATGATCCATTGTGATAAGGGTTCCACCGCTAGATTAAAAAGTAATGGAGACAGCGGGCAGCCTTGGCGTGTTCCTTTACCCAGGGGAATAGATGGGGTTAGAAAACCTGTAGTATGCACCCTAGCCGTCGGGGTCTCGTACATTGCACCAAGGAGAGATACGAACTTGCCCCTGAAACCCAGCCGCTCCAATACCGCAAATAGCCATGGATGTTTGACGTTGTCAAAAGCCTTTTCGGTATCAATGGTGATGATCGTATTGCCCGGAGACGGATGGGCTGTGGATTGCTCCAGGGCCAGTAGGACTTTGCGGATGTTAGCTACTGCCGCTCTCCCCTTGCTGAATCCGACCTGGGTAGGGTGTACAATATTTGGCATTATTCCTGCAAGGCAGTCCGCCAAGATCTTGGACAAGATCTTAGCGTCCACGTTAATTAACGATATGGGTCTATAAGAGCCTGGTTGTTGCAGATCCTTTCCTGGTTTAGGTATCGCTTTTATATAGGCCTCATTCCCCGTGGGTAAGTATTTACCGTCCGACCATAGCTGGGAGTATAGCTCCCCCATGGCAGGGAGGAGATCTAGCTTAAGGAATTTAAAGAATTCCGCTGTGTATCCGTCCGGTCCTGGCGATTTGCCCCCCGCTAGGTTAGAGATGGTGGAGGCGATTTCCTCCTGGTTAATTGGGGCATTTAGCTTATCCAATTGAAGGTCTGTGATTTGAGGGAGTTTAATTGAATCCAAGTATTTCAGAGCTTCAGGTGACAGGTGTTGGTCATCCCTGTATAGAGAGCGGTAGTACTCTCCCAGTAATAGGTTAATTTTTTCTGGATGTGTAATCTGTT